CATGAGACGGAGGGAGTAATATTTAGTGGTAGTTGTGCATGGATCAGTTCGAGTCGAGTATTTGATTGATCTCTGCGACTCGAAATATTTTCTTCTTCCTCTTCTTTTGAGATCTCACCTACTTCTCTTTGACCCTTTCCCACTACCTCTCCATCATAACCAGCCGCAAGTAATTCCACAAACACATGCAGATAGTACTTCTGTTTTGGTTTCCAACTGATGCTGGGGAAAGGCCCTTAATTTTTTCTTCGATACTGGTAACTAGTATTAGTAATAATTGAAAATTTATAATACAGAGTATGAACAAAAGTGAGAATTTTCTTTTGGAAATCAGTTAACCCAACAGCTCTAACCTCACTCTCTTTGGAGATTTCCTCAAACAAGCCCTTACTCAATGCATTGGCTACAATTGCACTAGGAAATGATATTTTAGGTACCATTGCATACTAAGATATTCCATGTTTTTATATCAAGGAAAGTTAGAAGGATGAGGCGTTTTATTAAAAAGTTACTCCCTCCGTTCCAAATTATAAGATGTTCTAACTTTTTTCTGAATCAAATGTATATAGACGTGTTTTAGTATGTATGTTCACTCATTTCAGTCTGCATATGTAGTTCATACTGAAATTTCCAAAACATCTTATATTGGTGAAAGGAGGGATTATTTTAGTACTTATGAGTTCTCATATGTAGCTTTTAGCAAAGATGAAATTCTTGCAAGGGACAAAAAGTTATATTAATGATGTGCTAAAAATTTTGTTTCTATAAGTTTTTTCCATGCGTAGGGCCTATTTTTCAATTGGCCTTTTTAATGTCGCTTTGGGCCTCTAATATTTACTAGGGATATGATTCTCTACTAAGCATTTCTGGCCAATTATATTTTGCTTCAGGCCGACAGAGAAGAGCAAGATTGACTATTTGATTTCTACTGTTACTCCTCGCCAAAGACGCAATGTAGAATGAATGGTGCAACGTGAGTCAGTGATCTCATGTTTGTTGGTTCTTCCTTCTCTTGCATATATTGCTTTACTATTATAGAGAACTCACGGTCGTGGTTTACCATGTTCTTTAATTAGTCAACAAGACCATGGACAAGTGCAATGAAGATTATTTGGATCGATTTGGATGTCCTGATCCACCTGTTCCGAGCCGGAGTTTTGTAGAGAAGCCATTTGGTTATACAGATGCAGTTTCTGATGATTCATTGACTTCCAAGGTTGTCTCGCTTGCTTTATATGATGGTAATTATGCGTCTTTCCGCTTCTGAATTTTCTAATTTGTATTTAATCATCACTAGTTCATGATCTAAATGACGATTTTATGCAGGAGATAAGATGTTGTTTGCATGCTCGGGCGTAGCTTTACAACACAAGGGAACGGAGTTTCCAGTAGTATCAAGATTTGTGACTTCAAAACGTTTGGTTACAGAATTTGAAAAGAACAGAAACAGAGCTGATAATTTGAGGGTTGGTGCTGCTAATCGCCCGTGTGTTCAATTTTTCCCTCTGTTTTTCAAGGTAAATGTGATCGATTGGGCTGATGCATACTACTCTTTTCACTATAGGTTAATGTGCGCCTTCCCAACAAAGCAAGTTTCGATGGGTTCTTGGGGCTGTATGATAGTCATATTGCGATTGTCACGTCCTTCCGCTTCGGAAAAGTACTTCCTGTAGATCTGCACTCTCATATAGACTGGCAGCATGATCTAGTAGCTGTTGGGCGAGCCTTTAGCTCGGGCCTATTGATATCCTGTCACAGCAGCAAGCTACAGATGCTCTGATCCCTTTCCCTTGTCCTATCACAGAGGTAAGCTGTTCGCTATTTCCTACGTACTTTTTTGGCATGATGAAAAATGTGGAACAAAATTATTGCGCCGTAATCCCAACCCCTTTTATTTTGTCATTCTAATTAACTTTGGGCACCAAAGTCATTTTTCCTTTGCGACCCTTACTGCTTTATTCTTTTTGGCTCTAGGCTGGACTTGGAGGGCCAGTTATTAATCTAGCTGGGGACGTTGTGGGATTGAGCATTGAGGTTGACATCGATAAGGAAACTACCTGGTTCCTACCGCGTGTTGCGCTTCGTGTACACTTGGAATATCTGGAGAAGCTCAGGTATGTCTCCTTTGCTTCTAGTACTTATGATTATGAGCTACATCATCCCCAATTTGCGTATCTATATTTGTTTTGTTCAAAACACACATCCTGTTCTAGTTCCTCCCTTGTAAGGCGAACCATCTTTTGATACAGGCATTGAAGGGATTTAAGTGTTCTCACAAATATCATATGAAGAGTTGAACAAGATAACATATTACATGCAACTATCGTAAGAAATAGACCTCACACTTAGCAAAATAATTAACTATTTTGTATTTGCCCTACAACCATAAGAGCGATCAGAACATGACAGAAAATTAGGGGAGAACTGTTGTGCTACGCACCTGCCATGTGGGCCAGCCAAGACCAAGGCCTCTCCTAGAAGCTGACTCGGTCAAGCCCAGCAGGTAACCGGCGCTCGCGTGACCGGCTTGGCCCATCTACCGGACGTGCCCCTCTTAAGCAAAAACTAAGGCTAACCTGAGGGGATAAGGAGGGTAAAAGAATATTTTGTCCGTCTATCTTCTTCCTATCCGCTACTCTGTATCTCCGCTTTCCCCTCTTCTCATCTACCGAACTATGTGTTCTTGTGACTGAATCCTTTGTGTGATACAAAGCGATTGCTACTAATCTCTGTGGGTTCGTAGCATGTTGATAGATAAACGTCCACGAATAAGCATATCCTCACAAATTAACATTATTCATTCTTTATCTAAGTTGTCAACTAAAACCTGCCAACTGAATGATGGAATCACTTGTCAACCCTCGAACACTTGAAAAAATGTAAGTGAAAAACCCCATGACCAATTAATTATATCTCAATAACGAAGTGGTAATATGAAAAACAGCTCCCTGTTGATACTACGTACACTACTGCCTATATTTTGGTGCTTCAAGAAGTCATAGAAAAAGCCAATAGGGCTTTGGGAGTTCATAAATCTGAAATAACAAAAAATAGATACAAATGTACAGCACCTCTAATCTCCTACTCTTTATCTAATAATTTGATAGATCGACATTGTAAATGTGTTGCGCACATTCTCGGAAAAAAAGTGTTGCACTTAGCTTGTCTGCCACATCCATCCATTGATTTATGGATC